CGCGACGCCATCGGTAATGGTCGTCTCTACATGCATTCGTTGCTATCGAGACTGTCACTTTATAATATAGATGCTGCACCACCATCAGCAGGCGAGGCATGACTTCTGGAGTGCAGATCCATGGTCACTATAGACATATTGTCACACGTCATGAAACTCTTTGGGATTTTTTTAGTATAATTCCGTAGTTTTTTTTTTTATGTGAAACATCCTTTCACATACTCTTGAATCTGGTTTTCCTTAGCGAAAGCTCTCACGCGTCACAGCCTTTTACACGGATAAAAAAGCGTAATCATCGTATATTGGAATATCATGGGGTTATAGTGGCTTGGGTAGAATAAATTAAATGAGTTCTATAATTTATTCCTATATCACACTTGAATTGTGGCAGGTAAAAATAGTGTTAAGGATAAGCACAGTGCGTTTTTTTTATCAAACTTTTATGGACATTTTGTAGATGCTAGACGTATATATTAGCATTTGGTATTTCATTGCATCTTAAGAAATATTGCAATAATTAATGGAAATAATTAAATATGAATACACTGGCGATCCCATCATAAGCCAATATTACCTTTCTTCCACAGAGCTCGGCTTTGACAGTTGGGTATGTTTTCTAACCAGTTAATCACTATTTACGTTAAATATTGTCATGTCTAATCCATGTTTTCATAATCTCTTGTGATATATTTGAGGGTTATATAGGATGATATATTCGTCATTGCAATCGTTTCCCAAACATACAACTTTGGTGAAACAGACTTAGAGAATGTGTATCATTTTCCTTAACTTGCTAGTCATCTGTCTTCTAGCACTGACCTTCAAGATGAGATGCATCGTCTCAAATGTTCAGGATCAACTTTAGAGATAGAATTTACCAAGATCTTGACATGAGAACAAATACAAAAATGTGTAGTGATTCCAGTTCTCTTGTATACCTCTGACACCTCGACAACTTATCCATGTCGTCTGAAATTTTTGAAAATTTTCACCACTGTTGCCGTCGAAGTTTCTTGAACATCAGATAGAAAGACAGAAAAAATAACGTCAGCTGACTGGAACAAGCTAAAATGACCAGCATTGAAACCATCGTCATAAAAAATTCAACTTCGATGGATGACAACCATCTGCCAAAGTAAATCATTTACTCCCAACTCAAAGAAGGTAATCGGAAAGAAGAGGAGGTGAAGAGAAGAGATTCAAGGATATTCTAAAACAAAACATCAAGAAATGTAACATAGACGTCGACAGCTGGGAATCCAGAGCAATGGAAATGAATCTGTGGAGATCTATTTTCAGAAACGGAACAACAATTTTCGAATCCAAACGAGCAGCCGAACAGAGGAAAACAGACGTCGAAAATACATACAACAACAACCAAGGCCTGATCTACCAACATCTCTTAAATGTCGAAGGACCATTCAAGCAAAAACTGGTCTCATTAGCCATGAGAGACCACAAATCCAACTGAATACGGAAAAGAGAACAAGACTATCATCCACAACCTCATGGGATAGCCACGAGTTAGGATGATACATGCGTCATTGCATTCGGTCCCTGAACACGGAAATGACATATGACTATCATCCACGACCTCGAGGGATAGCCACGAGTTATGATGATACATAAGTCATTGCATTCGGTCCCTGAACACGGGAATGACATATGACTATCATCCACGACCTCGAGGGATAGCCACGAGTTAGGATGATACATGCGTCATTACATTCTCCCCCTGAAGACGGAGATGACATATGACTCAACATAATATAAAACCTGTCATTTTTTACTACCTCTATTAGGCATATCCATTCACGTCATGGGAGACCATAGCTCTCCAGAACTTCCTATCCTTTGTACCTTTTAATGAATACTAAATATATATAAGAACCGAAGCGACAAGTGAGAAATATGCTACATTTGTTTGTAAACATACAACTGGGCCCTTCCCTGACTCTCACCTACAAATCAATCCCCACATTGCATTTCACTTCTCGTTCATGTTGATATGGGAAAGGATCGCTGCACGTTCACAAGAGACGGAAGATTAAAACACGAGTCCGCTTTCCATTAATGTGGCATTTTATTACCTTTGATTCCAAGTTAAATCTAGTATTTAAACTGTTAGGTAGGTGGAACATGGACCACTATCCCTATCACTCTCTTTCTCTCTTTCTCTCCCTCTGTCTCTCTCTCTCTCTCTCTCTCTATATATATATATATATATATATATATATATATATATATATATATGATTAAAACGAAACATGGTCCACGTATAGATTTAATAGATCAGTAGACAATAAAATTATAACAATAATGGCAAGGAGATTGATTGTATTTATCATATATTCACCTTTTGACTAAACTGAAGCGCAAAGAGAAAGATTTTAATGTCGGAATTTTCGGACACGCCTGTGTCCTTTGTCACCGAGACGAGGAATAAACAAAAAGTTGGACTTACAAAGGATGTTGTTGTTTTGGTTATGGTGCTTCCTGTGGAAACTATATACTCTGAGTAAATCCAAATCCTTGTTTTATCCTTTAATGCCTGATTTTTATTTTGCATATATATATATATATATATATATATATATATATATATATATATATTCTCATCTCAATATTACAACACGAGTGAGCGGCACCAGAACTGATTACTTCAATCCAAACTGTAAATGTTAATATAGATCTGTAGCTGGAAATTATAAATTTCAGACTTTTTAGTTTCCCGATTCCATGACCTTCATTTATTTGTTTATTGAATCGCTTGTCTTTTTATGCTTAAATGGATAACACTTAGAAGAATCGACTTCTCGCAATTTCAACTGTAAAATGACGTGATCTGTTTACTTCTTCATCGATCTATATCTTGGGTCAGAATAGAAGAGAAATAGGCAGCATGTCGCGGATCATCTATGTTGTTTTTTACCAAAATAGTGGTGAGAGGAGATTCTTTGAAAGAACCTAATGTTGAAAAAGTCAAATTCTTATCAAGAATGGAAATTTGAACACACATGTTTCTTTAGGTTAGCACAGCCATCAGAAAAAAAAAAGCATTCAAGCAGACGAGGCATTCGAGGGATTTATAACAGCAAAATTGTCCAAACTGTGTAACATCAAAATTGTATAATTGTTATATTAAGCTCAGAACCGTTGTATCTTAGAAATGATTAAAGATATCTTACTGGAATCCTCTAAGGTTTTTTTTATAACACTATTGGACTTTGATTTGAGCAAGAAGAATGTATAATTACTTTACAAGATTAACAAAAGAATTGCGATGAGATCGACCCTCAACGAAAATGACAAATTCATCATTAATTAATCATATCTAAGGATTGGAAGCACATGAAGAATTGAAATAAAGTTCATATATATATATATATATATATATATATATATATATATATTATTACAGCCTCATTTTCCAACTTATTCATTTATTCAACATCATCTTCTCTCTCTCTCTCTCTCTCTCTTTCTCTCTCTCTCTAACATTCTAACTTTCTGTATTGGAGTAACAAAGGGTCTAACTGTTTCCACGTACGATTTCATTTTCAAGTCTTTTTTCACTGCTCTTTCGAGTGTCATGGCTGAAACTCCTCTCCCGCTCTCCAAACGTCTTGTGAATTGAGTTGGATCTTTTCTAATTGATCTCTTTAGCTCTAAGTTGAAATGATGATCTCTCTTCCTGTTGTGACCTCCTTATCCAGTTTTCCTCTGTACTGCTCAGTTGGGAAGACAGTGGGACTGACACAAAAAGATTTTAACCTGCTGTCTTTTTAGCTGAATAACTCAAAGGGTTTTTCAGTTATTCTTACGACAAGTGGTGTCAAGATGTCTAAACGTTTTATCTGACAACCTGGAAAAAATAAACTCAATTAGTTTAATTTTTTTTTTAGATATTAAATATTTTGTGGGAGGATAATTGTGCTGTTATATGACTTGGAGAATTTTGCTGTTACACACCGTATGTGTAGTTTGGGCCGAATCAGAATTTGTCAGATTTCCTTTGCTCTATTTTGCAATGATCTCTGTTTTTCAAAGTTTTTTTTTTTGTTTTTGCAAGCATCTTTAAAAAAAGTTTCTCTTCATTTAATTTGAGTTTGTCTTTCGAAATCCTTCTATCGTTTCCAGATTTAAATCTAATCCATCCGAATATATTTCACGCTAACTTATCCAGCATTTCCATTTAAATGAAATACAAAAAGAAACCTCCAAAGATTTATATTTTTTTCTTTCTTTCTTCTAGCAATCATCTCTGAACAATTCTGTCTTTTCGAATCTCTCAGATCTTCTTCTATTCAAATTCCCCATCGTACTTTAGAATCTCATTAATCCTATCTTTCATTTTCACTTCGTTGTCTTCGCCACCAACTGCAATGGGAACATCTTTCATCTTTCTATTAATAACACTCTCATCATTAAACATACTCGAACTTGAGCCTCCTTCTATGTTTTGATCCATTTCTCAGTTTATTTTCTAACTTCCGATCAGTTATCTGTGTAATTCTATCGTTTTTCTGAATATCGATTTTTTTCTCTCTATTTCGCATTTCTTTTACGTTTCTCTTTTCTCTTCTTTCCTTTTCTAGCCGTTCGATATTTTATTTACCACTATTGCTCTCTTTATCGCTACCTTTCTTTCTTCTCCTTATTTTTAACTGTTTCTTTTCCCCTATCCTCTTTCTTCTCTTCCTTTCATTGTTTGCGTTTTTTTTCTTAGTTTTAATCACTGTCTTCTTTTTTTATTGAAATTATATTATAATTCTTTCCTACCACTTTAATCTAACTCTCTTCCCGTCTTTACCCCCCCTCTCTCTCTCTCTCTCCTTCTTCTTCTTCTTACCCTCTTTATCTCTCTCTTTGTATTTTTCTCTTTGCAGCTGTTCGTCTGCCTTTTTTCGTTCTCTCGTATTCCTGATCATCATTCTTTCTTTTACTCGTCATTATAATCAACTCTTCAATTATCTCACTCTCTATTCCGATGTTTATTAATGTCTTTCTTTCTCCCATTTATCCCCCCTCCTCTTTCCCATTTTCCTCCTCTTTTCTTCTTTTTTATTATATCTCACTATTTCCTTTTGGATCATTCATTGTGCCCTCTGTCTGTCTGTCTGTCTGTCTGTCTGTCTGTCTCTCTCTCTCTCTCTCTCTCTTATCCATGCCTTTCACCTATTTCTTTTTCCCTCTTTTATTTCCTCTCTTCCCATTCCCTCGTTATTTTTTCATCTCTTTCTCTTTTCGTCTCTTTTTTTCATTCTCTCTATTCACTATCTATCCGTCCCTCTTTCCTACTTACTTTTATTTCACCATCCTTTTCTAAGACTGTCTCTCATTCCTTCTTTTCCTTCTCCTTCTCTCTATTTTTGTTTTCTTTTTTATACCTATCTTTCTTTTTTTCCTATTCTCTCCCTTTAGCGTCTTTCCTCCCCCTCTCTCTTTCTCTTCCTCTCTAGCTATTTTCTTTCTCTCTCTATCTTTAGACCTACTTTTCTTTCTTCTTTTCACTCTTTCTATATTTCTCATTTTCTCTAGCACATCTTTTTGTTTCCCCTATTTTCGCTACCTTTTTATTCCCTTTATATCTCAGCCTTCTTCTATATTTCTTTTTGAACCCCCCCCATATATATATATATATATATATATATATATATATATATATATATATATATATATATATATATATTTCATCATTCTAGCTTTCTATGCTTTATCCTTTTTTACGTCTACTTCTTTCTTTTCCTTCTTTTTATCTCTTCCTCTCTGTCACTTCTTCCCTTCCTCTCATTCTTTCTTTTCACGATATTTCACCCCATCGTTTCCTTTTTTATCTCAGTCATTTTTTCTTTTTTTACCGTTCTCCCACTTTAGCTTTGGTTTAATTCAATGTCTTCCTCTTTCCATTTCATTTCTTTGCCTCCTCTTTAACTCTTCCCATCTTTACTTCACTCTCTGTCCCTCTCTCGTTCCTTTTAAACCACTCTCTCTTTGTCTCATTCTCTTTGCAGCTGTTAGTCTGCCTTTTTCGTTCTCTCGCTTTCCAATCCATCGTTGTTTTAACCTTCTATATAATCAGCTCTCATCAATTGTCTCACTGTCTATTCCGATGTTTATCAATTCCTTTCTTTCACCCTTTTTCTTTCTTTCTTTTTTCTTTCTTTCTTTTTTTCTTTCTTTCTTTCTTTCTTTCTTTCCCCTCTTTCATCGTTTTCCTTCTCCTCATCCTTCTATTCCCCACTTTTTATATCTCCCTCCTCTATTTTACTCGTTTATCCGTTTTTATCACTACTTTCTCATCTTTGTCCCATTTTTTTCATCAACTTCATGCCATAATTTATTTCTCTCTCTTCTTAAACTCATTCTTTCCCCCTTTTTATCAGTAGGGTTAAGGCCATATCACATTGACAAACAGGTCCTCGTATGATTGCCAAAGTTAAGCCACGTCGAGCCTGGTCATTATCTAGATAGGTGACCGCTTGGGAATAGCACGTGCTGTAAGATTGGATGTCGGGTGGTGTAATGTTTAAAGGCTGAGAATTATAAATCGAAGAGCCGAGTTCCAATTCCAGTGGAGTTCGGTATATTCAGTTACGCGCAAATACCTTGGGAAATATATGAATCCACCATTTCTCCCCCAGCTATGGGTTAATTAGTAGGTATCATTATTATCTCCAAAATATCACTACACTAAAAATAGTTTCTATAAAACAAATAATAAAAAAACATTTCACTTTAGTTTCTCCAGATTTTAGTTTTTTAATTCTTACCGCGTTCCCTCACCTTTCTTTTTCGACATCTTTATGCGACATTTTTTTTTTCTTTCTTTCATCATCATTTATTCAGTTATCGCTTTTTACGCTGCTATGATCACCACTCCCCTCCATATCACAGTTGTGATTCATGATAAACTTCAAGGCAATGCCTTGCCGGTTCCTTTTGTACAGGGATGTTGGGGTTACCCCGTCATTCCTCTCAGGAGTTCCTCCAGCCACTGTTAAAGCCGTTGACCTCTGAAGCGGAAATCACATGCCCAGGCTAGCGACCGGCCGATGTCCGCTTGTCAAAGGTTAACCTTTCTGACTACACTCGGACAGTTTAGCAGGCAAGTCGATCCGACTTGCGACTTCTTGGAGCCATAGGTGAGAATTGGATGTAGGGCGTGGACCAGTACAGTTCTGCTTCCCAATTCATTTTCTTAAAACAGGGTCGACCATTTCGATACTGACAATACACACCATACGCCCCTTTCTTTTTTCTTAAATTTCTATTTAATTTTTTGTTTTCCTTTTTACAGAACTTTTTTCTCTTTTTACACCCCCGCTACACTTTTTCCCTCCCTCTTTCCTCTTTTTATCCAATTCCAATTATTTATCATTTCTGGTGGAGTAATGGATAGCGGCTAGGATTGAGGAATCGGAGAGCCGCGTTCGAATTCCAGTTGAATCCATTACATTCATTTACGTGCTAATACCGTTTGGAAAGGTAAGAATTGTACGTTGAATATTGCTTTCAAATACAGCTTAGTGCACCAACTATGTATCTTGAGATTCTTGACAAAATTCAAAGAAGAATCTGTAACGTAATCGATTATCACCTGGCATCTCGACTTCACTTACTTCCACTCAACATTGATTCTATCCGTCTTTTCTGCAAATTATCTCAAAGCAATACTTTTGCTGTGGTTTCCTCCTTTTTGCCTCCACTGCATAAATTTATGCAAACTACGAGATTGGCAACGAGATCTCGCCATTTTAATGATGAACCAACTGTTGTAGTTTCTTTTTCACCAACATCTCACCTATGGGACTTCCTTCCAATTCAGTTCTTCCTTGCAACCTACACTCTTCAAAAAATGTAAATGCTACGCCAATCGCCATCTTCTGTCTGCAAGAACTCCGACAAAACGCAGTGAAGGATTAGGTCTGGTTTGTTTTAGTTTCTTTTACGGCATATCAACCTCAATGGGTTATTTAATGCCGACAAGATTTTTATTGCTGGTAATTTTTTTCCAAAACTGTGTTGCTGGTATATTTTTTTTTTTCAGAAATGTATTGCTGGTAATATTTTTTACAAAGTATTTCCGGTATTAAAACCTATCTTTACACTTTCATAATGTTTGGACCTCAGTTTTTTTTTTTTTTTTTTTTGGGGGGTAAATATTGACCCATAGCTGGGGCCCTAACAGCTGCTACAACCCCGGGTTAGGGTAGACCTGGGAACACCATCAATTAAGAGGTAGTTCCACGCTCCTCAAAACCTCCTGATCCGAGGCCTTGCTGTTGGATGTAGTTTATCGTCTTACCCAGGACGCGGGTGCATTTTATCCTTCTTAACCAGGATTGGGCAGTCAAATAATGCGATAAAAAAGGACTAAAAATCAAATGCAAGAAGACAGGAATTCATGATTGTTAGCTAAAGCAACGTCACATCATGCAAATCACAAATTGGATATACCAAAATCAAACAAGTACAACAATTTAAATATTGAAATATTATTAAGAAGAAACGTCCATGAAAACTAACGAAAGTGGTCTTGTTTTGTGAGGACAATTCTCCAGCACACGAGTCCTTAGTTTCAGGGGTTAAGGTGGCTTTGAATAGGTTGATGACCCATCCTATTCCCCTGATTTAACAATCATCTGTTCTCTAACTGAAAAATACTTGAGTTGGGAGCAGCATCTGCAAGTTGGCATAGTACTGCCCTAGCCATTGATGGTGTGGCGATTTTGAAAAAGAAGTCAATAAACAAAATGAAAATTTGCGTTCCAAAATAACTGTGTCACCTTCCCTGTAGATGAAATGACTTTGGCCTTCTTTAGAGCAGTTGAGGATGTTTCCCCTGCATGGTTTGTCTCTTTGTCTCTGGCTCAAATAGAATGAACCCAACACTCATCAGAGGTTAGAAAAACGTTCAAGGAAAGCAGCTGGGTCTGTCTCAAACAATATTAGATTTTCTCGTGATGTGATCAACCTGGTGCGCTTTTGATCAGATGTCAGAAGACGTGGCCCCCACCGAGCAGAAACCTTCATCATGCCAAGTTCATTGAGTAAAATATTCTTAACTCTCTCATGGGATTGGCTAATACCATTGGCTATTTGAGTGATAGTCAATCGATTGTTCTCTATCACAATGTGGGGAACACAATGTTTTTCTCGGCGGTCGCAGTTGCAAAATGTCCAGATCTTAGAGCAACTTCAAGACTCTCTCTTCCTGTCAACAGCCTACATTTGTACTGTTGATAAAGCTGAAGTATCATTCCCTAATGTATCAACCATTCCAGCCTGAATGCTCTTTTTGTGCAGATACTTGATTACACTACGATGGCAGATTTTGTCCATTTTCAACAGCAGTCGCTACATTTGACATCTTCTTTAAACAGTCAGATTTCAATTTACCGGGAAAGAAACGGGGCATTTCTTAATAGGAAGAGTCGAAATGAATGCACGCAAGATGTTACAGCTCTAACATCACTCCTTTATAGTCAACCTTTGAACTTTTCAGCCCAGCCTCGTTAGATAATGCTCAAATACAAAAGGTTGTGAACTGACAAGTATAAATCACTCGTACCGACACTAAACTCTCTCACGTTATATGCATTGATGATTTGAGAAATCACCTACCATTCATTCTCATGTGGTAAACACGATCAAAGTTTTCTTCTATGGTGTCACTTGCAGAACATCTAATCCTTGGGTCATCTTCAAGACTCTCCGTTCCTCTCCCAAGTTCAGCTGCCAAATTTTGTACTGTTGATTAGGTTGGGGTGTCCTCTACTAATGTAGCAACCATGTCAGAATGAATATCTTTGGGGGCTAAACCCTTTTTCTGCAAGTAATTGATAACACCACGATGCCAATTTTTTCCAGAGAAGTCGCTAGTAGTTACATGTGAAGTCTTCTTTGAACAGCAAGATGTCACTTTACCTGCAAAGAAAAAATGCAGTTGAAATTAATACAGGAAAGCTTCCACAACTCTAGCATCACTCCTTCATAGTCAATCTGTGAACTTTTCAGTCCGCCCTCATAATTCTCTTTTGAGTACTTTAAAAACAAATGGTACTCCAATATTTCTGATTTTATGCAGTACTAATTCAAGGTTTTTTAAATATCTAGTCCTGTCCTAATTTCGGTCCTCAAGAGATATCCCATATTTTTTCCCAAGAGTTATTTTAAGGTGAGGCTAGTAAATATTTGGGAGCTTTACAGGGAAACAATATTTAACAAACTAGTCTCGCAGATTCATCTTTTAATTAGATCTACAGGGTATAATGTACTTACGGCCTTGTTTCATACTTCTCATGTGTCGTGTTCATTTAGGATGTAGACGATTATGGCTCTTTACAGCTTCCTCTATATTTGTAAATCTAAGCTAGTAATTCTCAACGTGGGCCCTTAGACCCAAAAGTGGTCCCGAAGAATATTTTAGATTAAATTAAAGGCCGCCTTATAAGGCAGCATTTAAGCTAGCTTCTGCGGAAGGTTCTTGATTGAGCCTTCATCAAAATACGTAGCAAGGAGTATATGCGATCGGCAACAATAAACTACAAGAGAAATCAAAATTGATAGCTGCATTTAAATATGGCATCAATATTTAAGTTTACCTTTTAAAGGTTGAACGATAATTCACTGCCGGTAGTTAATTTAAAGATAATTTGATGTACGTAGGTCTTTACTTTCCAAAAAAAAATTATTTTGTTTTATGGGTGACTTTCTCTGGATTTCATAATTAATGTCGATTATTTCCTAATTGATTTCCCAGTTATAAAAATTGTTATCGAACAAAAAATTTCGTCACAAAAGAATCATGTAAAAAAATCGCCGAATCTATCGCAGTAATAAAAACTTGGGAATCCAAAATTTCAGGATTGTGAGTGCGGATCCGGCCGAAACGTTTTTAATTTTCTCAAGGAATCGGCCTGATTCCAAAATGGTATGATATGTTGGACTACGGTCTCTAGGAGTAAAGTTGAAAAAGTGTGACACACTGACATTCGCATTTATTATATAGATGGGGTCTGGAGCCACACCGGGAGCAAGGATTGATATTTTACTACTACATATTGTTTTTTTTTTTTTATAAATAAAATCTATTTCCCGTTACATGCAGTTTTTTTGTGTGTGCTGATGTTGGCCTGGATTATTTTGGCACTATAAAAGGGGCACAAGGAATAAATGGTTGAGAAACACTGCTCGAAGCAACGTCTGTCTCTTTCCTATCATCCTATGTCCCTGATGTGCCATCCACTCACACAAACAGATTGAGGAAGATACGGTTTCCGAATGCTACTTCTTCTTTCATTTCACCCCACCCCACTGTAAAATTTTCCGAGTCATCTTCCCTTATTATGGATCCTGCGGTGGAGTAAATATTAGTAAGCTACTCTCAAAGATGACTGCTATACTAGTGAGTTAGATCCGCTCAAGATGTTTTATACTAATGTTCACCTAATACAAGGCTTGAGAATCACTCAGGGTTAAAAGGTTTAGAACGAATGAGGTATATGATATGGATGGACGAGGTATTAAAGGAAATAGATTGTGAGCATTAGGGGGAAAGATTGGTTCTTGCGTCCAAAGATTACGACTGTATTCAGTAAAGCACTTACGTGGGATTACGTTCCAAAAAGTCGAAGTTCTTGAGAAAAAGCTGTTTGAGTGGAACATTATCCTTAAATTTGGAATACGGTGGGGTGGGAAGGTGATTCGACCCCATAGAATATTCTAACGGAAAATTTATGTCATACAAGGCTAAGCTAAGCAAACATGTAACCGTTCTAAGTGAGAATCTTACTGTGTATACGAATTAGCCGCCTTGTACCATACTAAGGAAATTATTTTTCTTTTTAACAGTTTTATTTCTTATTTTTTCTTCCCCGCCTCCTCTCTGTGGGAGGCGACTGTGGACACCCAAATCTTTACTTGTTTTTATGATGCTTCATATGCATTGATTTTATTCGAAAATTGCTCATCTTTCAAAAGCAAACAAATGAAATTATAATTCTCACTCCCTCTTTCTCTCTCTCACTCTCTTTCTCTCTCTCACACACTCTTTTTCTCACTCTTTTATTTCCTTTCACTCTCTCTATTTCCATTTTTTTATCACTTCCACCCAAACTTGAATATTTCTTTTGTTTCCTTTTCAGTGTTGACGCTAACGAACTTGTGCTTCTATCGATTGAATATTAAGAGTCCATGGCATTGCCGGCGTTACGCTGACGATATACCGAAAAACGCCGAACCAATTTGTGCAGATTGCTTTTCTTGTTCTCTAACAATTGGATGGGGTCAAAGCCTTTTGCAAAAACAAGGCGATTTCCACCCCTCAAAGCTGTTTATGTAATTACTGAGGATAACACCTGGCATTCGCAAGTCGAACTTCGAAGGTGAAAAAGCCTGAGATTTTGTTTCTAATAACGAGTTGGTGGCACTAGGTGCCGGGGCAATCACTTCCAAAGAAGGATTTTTTTTTTTATTTCAAATCAAGAAAGTTCGTATGGCGTTTATATTTTTGCAAAATATGTGAAATATTGGCAGTATTAAATACGGTTACCAATATCAGTGTTCACACCATGATTCAGTTTGTAGAGAATTTTTCTCAGAGATGAATTTCCAGTTTATTTTAAAGAATTTATGAAACGAACGTCGCTACAACGTCTTTATATGTGTATTATAAAACTGGATAAATAAATTCATAAAGATAGAATGGATATACTTGTTAATAAAATTTTTCTCGAAAAACAATGTCTGTCATAAGCAAGTAGCATTGATTTCACCCTCTTTTTTCATCAGCCCCCAATCAAGGTGATAAAACCAAGTGTTAGGGAGATTGAAGTAAAATGAGAAGGCCTTAGTGGGGATAAAGGACAATAAAAGAACAGCAATCAGAAAGAAAGAAGATGGCGATTAGAGTTGGGTTTAAAATTTCGAAGATCGTAGCGGTAGTGGGGGGGGGCAAGGAATCAAGAAACCGGAAAGACTTCCACGGGCGAGAAGTGCGAGAAAATAAACTCTTAGAATAGAAATTACTGTTACATCTAGAAATGTGAACAGTAAAACAAAAAAAAACAAACTTTGTCACCTATCGAGTAGTACGCTTAAACGCCCACGATCGAAGTACCTAGGAGCTGATTTGTACAATTGCCATGAAAATATTTGTAGCAAAGAGCGAGGGGAGATACGTCATGGCGACAGAAAAGTGGCTGAAGTCGAGATGCCAGATCAAACTATTCTGGAGATTTTGTCAAGTATGTCGAGTTATATGGAATGTGCAGTAGTATTCAATGCTCAGCTGATTGGTAGATTTGTAAATGGGCAAGAAGAATTCTGGCGTCACATTGAACCAATTTTCCAAATAGCATGACCGGAAATTTATTCAATATAATCAATCCACTTCTTGTCACTGGAAAACGTAAGATCAAGAAGGCAAAACGAGTTGTTCTTCTGGAGATTAGCATCAGCAATGCTGATGGAAGGCAGAAAGGGTTCTAACTTACTTTGCGTATATGTAGACATGATCTTGTGAGAATTACGAATTTAAAATCCATACTATTAAATAATGGTCAACACCAAAAATTTAGAAATGATAATTATGCAGTATTTAGCCACTGACAATATACTTGCATCTTCCTTATAAAATTATTAAATATAATGCTTAAGTTACAAAATTCTGAATATAATAAATACAAGACATATGTTGTTAATGCTTAAATAAGTATTAAAAAGAAAAGAAAATATTTTATTAGATCAGAGTTCATTTCTTATTTAACCTATATTTCAATGGTGTAAGTTTGAACTAACTCGTTCGTTTTCAATATATCTAAGCTATAATTATAAACTACCATTTTCGAATGTGAAATTTCATCTGAAATCAAGAAATTACGAAATGTAACGAAAATGGACACAACGTATGGAAAAAAATTAAGCATCGCTCTGATCCGAATCCTGTTGCTGTTAGTTTTTGTTGATATTTCCCTTTCCCATACACATACTATGTGACTAAGATTTTCGAAATTTGAAAGTTTCACTGAATTATGTCGGAAGATTTTCAACTTTTCATCTGAAATAACGAAAATACAAATTTTAATCAAAATAGTCAAATGTTACCTATTTACTAAGACTTCTGGAGAATGAGTCAAAAATCGACAATCTAATAAGACGAGTTTCTCTGTGTTGGAAAATTCACAGCTTGTGCACATAAGCGAGACACTGCCATTGGATTTGAATTAAATGTAACTCCAAAATATCAAACTTAAATATTAATCAGGTTAAATTAAAACTCATTCCTGGTCTATGCATTTTTGAATTATTATATTAAATTATTATTATTTATTATATGTATTTATTATTTTATTCATTATAATTGTTTTATCTATTATTTTATTAATTATAATTATTTTATTTATTATTTTATTCATTATAATTATTTTATTTATTATTTTACTAATTATAATTATTTTATCTATTATTTATTCATTATAATTATTTTATTTATTATTTTATGCAGTTTATTATTTTATTAATTTATACTTAAATTATATTTATGTATGACATTATTTTATATTATATAGATATATTATTTTATTATATAGATATAGTTTTATATTATTATTTTTTATTATTATTATTAGTAGTAGTAGTAGTAGTATTAGTATTATATTTTTATAAAATAACTACAATCCTTGAATAAAATTTGAATATAATTCTGTTGAAATAATATAATCATTATTTATTATATTACACTATTTTTTATCATATTGCATTATATATGTATAATTTAAAATATATAGATATATTATTTTATATTTATGTTATACTATTTTATTTTATAATTTTATATTTATTTTATTATTTTGTAGAAGTTTATTATTGTGTTTATTCACCTATTTTGTTTAGTATTTTATTTATTGTTTTGATTTTATTTATTATTTCATGCTTTTTTATACAATATATTATTTTATATTATACAGATATATAATTTTATACTTATTTTATTATTTCATAGAATTTTATTATTTTATTTATGTATTCTATTTAATATCTTTATTATATTAAATTTTATTGTTTCAATACATTCTAAATATTTTATTAAAAGACTGATAAAGATAAGAATTGATCCACTACCTTGTCCACATGTTATAAATTGAAACAATTATAGCAAACTAATTTAATTTTAATACAAACAAATATTTAATCATGTCAATTTACAATTTTCTACAGACTAAATCGAAATTGATAACAGCTTTTTTAAACAATATTTTACATATAAGTATTGAGCAGATATCGTCAACTTGGAGCAGAAGTTTCAAATAGATAAAGTTTGCCTCTTTACTTATCTTCGATTTTCCAAGTAATTTAGCTTAAAATGAACAAAAGAGAATCGATTGTTATTCAAACATATCTCGATATTTTCATTTTCAACACGACTAACCATTATGTCATCTTTGTCGCTTCTTTTCTATATGCTGTCTACCTTCAGGATGTTGTCGGTCATAGCTTTTTACAATTTTTTGTCTTTTGTAGCTTTTAGTAATTTCTTCTCTCTCTCTCTCTCTCTCTCTCTCTCTTAATTCATGTTCTGCTGTTAAATAATAGTTTAGCAGACTATTGGTTTTGGGTTGAAGTATATCTCAGCTCCGACATCCGTAAATTGACCTTCGTGGTCAGATGTAATACATATTAAGGAAGTCGCTTTTGATCACCTGAGTTAGCGTAGGAATGATAGATAGAAAAAGGTTTTTTCAGCGAGTTGTTTCTTGACCGTGAAGCGATATAGATGTGTTCCCTTTCATATCTGAAACGACTCCTCAGTAAGGAAGTCGGACCCCGTTGGATAGCTAGTGTATGTCGACATTAACAAAATAATTAAGTTAAAATTCTCTGCGTTGAATCTTTCATTGCTGAACCGAAACGATTGGCGATCGCCGGCCAAGAGGAAATGCCGAGCTGAGATCATTCACTGGTGTCAGCATGCAACAATGCCAGGCATATACAGAAGCACTTTAGGTAGGGGTCATACACTGTTTTCTTCTGTTCCTTTTGCTTTCAATATATCTTGAGAGTATCAAATTTTCTAAGCCCTCTTCCCTCATTATATACCCGAGAAATTTCTACTGTCTCTTTCTGATATTAAGTACCTTTTTTGTTTTTTAGGAGGTACGGTGGAGTATTGGATAACGGTTCGGCCAAGTTCGAATTCCAGTCATTACATTCATTTACGTGCTAACAGCCTTGGGAAAGGTATGAATCCTCTTCTTCTACCAGCTATTGGAAAATAGCAGGACAGACTGGGTTCCATAGCCTTGGATGGCAACTGGTCTACCGCAGAAAGAAATGGCAAACTACTGCGGGAAAAAATCTGCCTCGTCACTCATGAATCGAAAGATACATGATCGCCTAATTTTGTGGTTGCTCACCTGTTCAGTCTGGTGTTTTCTCAGTATTCTTCTGCAGAACAACATTAATTTTGCTTCGAGTCTCTTCATCATGTATGAGGTAATTGTTAAGAATTCACTGCCATATAAGATGGTTGGTATGACGTAACACTTCGCTATTCTTTGATTCTAACGAAATTTATCTGCTTCTTAATATTTTTTAACTATTTACTAACATGCATGTTGGTTAATTAATTGAGTTGGTAGCTTATTTTTTTAAGTTAGGCTATTGAAGTATTTTAGTCGATAATTCACGAAAATGGGGAGGAACTTCAAATAAATAGTACGAGTTTATTTTGCAATGGTTGGTTTCTTAAAAGTAAATTAATGTAAATGGGGGATAGGTATGTTTATATATGTGTGCCCGTGCATGTGAGTATAAGTACAATTCCGAGATTTATATGAAGATGCGTGGATGTACATATATGTATAGGAATTTCTGTGGAATTTTGTTTGATTAAGCGTATAAGATGAATGGAGACTTTATGTAGACTGTAGGTTTAGAAATGCTGCTATAAGTGGTAATTTAGACTAATTTTGGACGACGCATAAATACAGGTATAGGATAGATTTGGGTTTGTTAGGCGTCTAGGTTTAGTTAAAGGGTCAGTAATGTTATGGAATAAGTACGATGGTGCAATGGATAGCGGCTCGGATTGAGGAATCGGATCACCGAGTTCAAATTCAAGTTGAATCTGTTACATTCCTTTAGGTGCTAATACTCTTGGGAAAGGTACGAATCCTCCTCATCTCCCCCAGCTATGGGTAAATAGCAGGTCAGACCGGGTTCTATAGCCTTGGATAGCAACAGGTCTACCGCAGAAAGAAATGGCAACCTACTATGGTAAAAAAAATCTGCTTCGTCCATCATGTATCTTTCGATACATGATCGCTGAAATGTGTATCACTCATAGCACATAACTGACTGATTTAAATGTATGAAAAATCTGGATTAAACTATGTAAGAAAGAGACCAGCTTACCGAGTTAGGAATCCAGGGAAAGTAACTCGAATCGAAAGCAGATAAATTAAAAAGACATCAGTATATAGGTATGAAGCGTAAAAAGCTTTTTTTCAGTGGCTGACGCTGTCGGTCGTATTTCAAAAAGAACAGTCGAACTTCTAGCTATGTCGATGTGATTTTGCAATGTTGATGCGGCCTGCAAAACCCGAGATGAAGACAGTGCATCACTGAAAACCATCCTTGATTCATTTAAAATTATGCAACAAGCGCCTTTCAATATTCCAATGCACCTTCGGATTTCGATTGTCTTTTATAACACTTCCCAAGCATTTAAATTGTTGTTGCTTCATTTTGGTATCTCCAATTTATAATTATTTACACTATTTACATTGTTCGCACTGTTGTTCTCATCTTTGTTGAAATATACACGAAGTTTCGGCCGTTGTACGATCCGGCCTTCTTCAGGTGATTGGAATTTCAAACTGAACCATCTTTTTCGTCTACCGGAGTAGACTGTTCTAGCTCCACGTGTCAGGCCTCTTCCGGGTGACTCAGTTATCTCCCTTTAACACAACTCTCCAAGTTTTTTGTCCACTACTGTAGTAGCCAGGTATTGAACTCGCGTCTCTGGTTCAAGTCACTGGATCCAAACAACGCTTTTATCCACTAGGCTATGTGTCCTTTTTAATTGGCATATTGTGCTGTTCCTTTTTTATGTCTTTTTCCTCTTCTTTATTTCTCTCTCGTCTTTCGCATCAGTCCTTCATCTAAAACTGGGAATGTATAGAATAGTAAAAAGGTTTCCTACAAAAAAGGCCAAAAGATCTGAGAAAATAGCAATAATGTAATCACATTGGAAATGCTTTATCTAAAAATAAAGGTACCGTACTAAGAATAAGAGTATACGGAAAAAAAGAAAGTAAGTGAAAATGTTTCATCGAATGAAAGAAAGAGAAATCAGACAAGGCAAAAGCATCAGTAAAAGGACAGTGAAATTCCATTATATAAAATATTTAAAATAGAAATATTAGGTTGCGACATAAATAATTCCCGATTTTCTTTTAACAAATTTATTCTTAAAAAATAATCTACAATCAAATTGTATTTAATTATATTTTAGTTTTATACGTTATTTATATAGATACTAATATTTAAGTAAATGCTCTGTTTATAATAAACAGTATTAACAACATTTACCGGCCTGAACGCCCAAGAAATTTTCATAGAAAATATGTGTCCTCCGACAGGAACCGAACCTGTATCCTATACGGAACCATCATATAGTCTGATGTGCTATACCAGTTTAGTTACGAAAGAGTGTCTGATTAACAAAGTCGAGTTTACTTCTTTTAAACTAAAATTTTCCATGATTTCCCTACAACGTCCATATCTGCTCGAATCGTATCTAAACGTAAACAAATCACGTCAGACACTACAAAATGGAAAATGTCCGAAAATTCTTTTAATATATTTTATTGTCATACGTTATTTATGCAGACATAAATATTTAAGTAAATGCTCTGTTTACAATAAACAGTATTAACAACATTTATCGGCCTGAACGTCCAAGAAAGAAATCGAACCAGTATCCTACTCGGAACAGTCATATAGCCTGACGTGCTATACCAGTTTCACTACAGATGAATGTCTTGGCTAGCAAGGTCGATTTTACTGCTTTCAAACTCCAATTTTCCATGATTTCCCTCGATCGTTCATATCTACTCAAAGCTTATCTAAACATAAACAAATGACGTCACACACTACGAAATTGACTAAGTCCCACAATTATTTTAATATATTTTATTGTTATACGTTATTTATATAGACATAACTATTTAAGTAAATGCACTCTTTATAATAAACAATATCAACGATACTTAACAGTATTTAATTATATATTCACCATTATTTGCAAAGAGGCATTGCCAATGATCAAACCATTTGAATGATTTTCCGCCAGTTTTGTTGCGAAAAAGTTTTCTCCAACATCTTTCGATCTGGTTTTCGTTACAGAAAATTTCCTCTTTCAATTTTTTTTTTTGTTTTTTTATTTTTGTTTTTATTTTGTTTTTTTGCATTGATGGAAATAAAAATAATCGTCGTTTGGCACAAAATCAGAGAAAAAAAATCATTGGAGGAGGAGAACAGAGAAGCCGTTCTCCAACATTTATCCTTATTCGGTACGGTCATAATTTTACATCCACTGTGTACGCTGCCACTATCCTGCAAAAACAAAATATGAATTGATCCTTAACTGTGACGTATGATTAGTAGTTAAAACGATAAATTCTTCTTTATATGCTGGGCACCTTCAGGACGTTGGCGATCGTGGCTCTCCACAAATTCCTGACCCTTGTAGAACTTAATAATTTTTTTCTTTCTGCTATTTCTCCTAAACCTCCATCCATTTACTGAAGTTCACTATGTTATGCGTTGTTTTCCAGTATCTCTCCAGCCTTCAATCTGCCCTCTGAGTATCAGATTTTCCAAGCCCTCTTTCTTCATTGTATAACCTAGATATGTCAGCTCTCTTTTTCTGATGTTAAGTATAAGTTTTTTCTTTAAAATTCCATGGTTGTTCACATGTTAGGTCGATGGTATAGTCAGCATCCTTCTTTGTGATTACATTTTTGTTTCCTTCTAGTCTCTTCTTCTATTTTGATGATATTGTCCAGTATTCTGTCATTAGAATTGGCGCCACGAAAAGAAAATTATTCATGACTCAACCTTATAATAAGATTGCTTCGACGGCTAGATATTTCCAAGAAATATATATTTGACTTCCACCTTAACGCAATATTAAACAGAAATATTTTTTTGTCGTTTGTGTTTTTATTTTACTGAGAATATAATCTTACTTCTCTCAATGTTTAGAAAATTCTATGAACGGTAGAACCATATCTGCTAGTCCTTAGAACAGTGCCAAGAAAACCATTTGGCACTTTGAAAGAAAAACGTAAATATATAAACTAAAAATAAAAAAACAACATATTCCTCAATTTATCAAAGCTCACCTTTACCACACACACACACACACATATATATATATATATATACATACACATACATATATATATATATATATAAACATATATATATATATACATACATATATATATATATATATATATATATATATATATATATATATGTATATATATATGTACGATGC